ATTTCAGTTCTGCCAAGAGCTATGCAGGGTAAACAGGCAACTCTGCTACATATAGCAAATTACATTTTTTTCTTAGGTGTACATAGAAAGAAGATGGGCTTGTTGTAAATAATATCAATGTGTGTAAAAAAAAAAACATCTATATAGAAATTGCTAATCATATATGGGCATGTGGAAAGCCATATGTTATCATTACATGCACAGATTCTACTCCCTGCATTGCAACCATTCTATTTTACAGCTCCTTCTCAGTATGCAAGTCTGTTGAAGCGCATTTCATAGCAAAATAAAATAAAAAATAAAATGTACCTATCTGCAACACATGTACATTTCCCTAGGCTTTATTCTTTTAAACCCTACAAGTACAGAAGATACCTGTTGATCTGCCAGAAATCCAGTGTGCTCCCAATTTCTATTTGTGCTGACAGAACAGTGTCTTTGCTGGTAGAAAATCACAACCAGTGTGGCCAGCTAGGTCTGCTGGACTATAGACATGTCTACTCCTGCATTTCTTAAGCTGACCATACGCCAGTGAATTTTCAAACAAATTCTCAGCTGCTCAAAAGTAGTTAAAAATTGTGTTTGATTTTAACATTCTAACAAAAAACCAGGCAAAAAAAAAAAAAAAAAAAAAAAAAAAAAAAAAAAAAACTTCAAAAAAAAAAAAAAAATTTCCATCCTGTTCCTTAACCTCTTCAAGTCCAGACACTTTCACCCCCTTCCTTTCCAGGCCAATTTTCAGCTTTCAGTGCTATCACACTTTGAATGACAATTGCGCGGCCATGCAACACTGTACCCATATGCATTTTTTATCATTTTTTTTTTAGACAGATAAAACTTTATTTTGGTGGTATTTATTCACCACTGGTATTTTATTTTTTTGCTATATAAATGAAAAAGTCCAAACATTTTGAAAAAAAAAAAAAACAGTTTTTCTTATAAAATTTAGCAAATAATCTTTCTTCATAAATCTTGGCCAAAATGTATTCCGTTATCTTTTTAAAAAAAAAAAAAAAAAACCCAAATTATTTTATAAAAAAAAAAATTATAATTTTTTAAAATTTTTTTTTACATTTTTATATTATTGATGTTTTTTTTTTTTAACATACTGTCACCCTAGCAGTACAGTGTCACCGTAGTGACTATACTACTTGTGGGGGGGTGATGAAGATTGTTTTTTTTTTTTTTTTACACTGACTGATTTTACACCCATAAAGGCTGTAAAAGCAATCATTTCTCCTTCTCTCTGGCTGCATTCTTACAGCCATTGAGAAATACTGTGAGAGCTGTGATTGGTCACAGCTTGTCACATGGTACAAGGCTGTTGTGAATAGCCATGTACAATGTGACCTTTGTGATCATTCACAGATTTCACTAGTAGTAAGCAATGATGGCAGGAAGTGACAGCTTGCTTACTACTATTCATGTGATCACTGATTGGCCAATCAGTGATCACGATTGCGGCCTCACACAAAGGTCCCATACAGCGATCGGTGTTCCTCCGGACACAGTGGGCACCGGATTGCGGTGCCTCGCGCTCCCAGGGAGTGCGCACAGGCAGGGAATGCTGGAGGACGTTTATAAACGTCCACCCACTACTGCACTGCTCCCATCTGGCCGTTTATGTACCTGGGCCGGATGGGAAGTGATTCAAAATGGTAGTAAAAAAAGATTTTCCCCTGCAAGGTAATGTCATAATGTGCTAGTATGCATCGCAATGTGCAAGTATGCATTACTTGAATGGCCGAAGCTGCGATGATGTAATTCCCATTCATGTACACGGGAGCTACGGCTATGGCACACAGCTCTGAAGGAACAGCATGGGTATGCCGTTCCTTCAGAGCGTATGCACCAGTGATGTCACCGGCTGCCGCTCTCTAGAATATCTCCTGCATGTTTTGGAGATATTAGTTTTACCTACAGGAAAGCTTTATTATAAAGCTACCTGTAGGTAAAAGTATAAAAAATTAGTTTATGGCCAGCTTTAGTACCATTCCTCATGTAAACATTGATTTAAGATAAGACTTTTTTTATTGATGTGTTAAAACACTGTTCTCCACATAGCAGCATACTTAAGCATTTGACGCCTGGCCAGTAGCCGTATGGCGTCCTGAAAAATGTACTAGCTTTCCGGGAGGACGCCATATGGCGTCCTCCTGCACATGTGCAGTTCGCACGCTGGCAGAGCCGCGCAACGACGCAATCGGTCACCGGCCTAGTACCTGGGACACGGCCGATGACAAATCAGGATTGATCAATACCAGCCCCTGTTGCCGGTACCATGTGACCTGCTGTGACCAATCACAGCAGGTCACATGACAGTTGTATACAATGCATGGCTTCATTCATGCCATCCATTGTATACTAGTGTCTAGCTGTGAATGGTCACAGCTAATCACATGCACATGTCATGTGATTAGCTGTGGCCAAATCACAGCTCAGCACAAAAAAAAAAAACAAAAAAAAAAAAACAAACCCTGAATGAATCAATGTCATTCAGGTAAATGCTTGCTTATAGCAAAGTAATTCTTTGCTATAAGCAAATTGTGTTAAAAAAAAAAAAAAAAAATACTGATCACTTCCCCAAAGTAGTACAATGATACTATGGTAACATTGTACTACTTTGAACATAGTAAAATATGAAAAAAAAATCTTAAAAAAAAGAAAAACAATTTAAAAAAAATTTAAAATAATATTAATAATAAAAAAAAATATATATTTTTTTCACACTGTCACAAGTCAGTGTCCTTGATCAACGCCATGCCAGTTATATGATGACGCTGTACTGCACTGGTGACAGTATGTAAAAAAAAAAAAAAAATAGGGAAAATAATTTTTTTTATTTTTTCATTTTCCGAAAAATGACAAAAAAAATACAACTTCAAAAACTCGCCATGCCTCTTATGAAGTACGTCGGACTGTCTACTTTGCAAAAAGGGGTCATTTGGGGGATATCTGTACTATTCTGACATTCTTGGACCTCAAGAAATTAGATTGGCTGTCAGTACTTCAGGATTGATCAATATTCAGATCTATACCATAGTTTGTGAACTCTATAACTTTCCTACAAACTAAAAAATACATCCTAATTTGGGATATTTTCACCAAAGACATGTAGCAGAATACATCTATGAAGAACAATTATTTATTTGCAAACTTTTATAACAGAAACAAAGAAAAACCTGGGGTTTTTTTCCAAAATTTTCGGTCTTTTTTTGTTAATTTAGCAAAAAATAAAAACCCCGGCGGTGATTAAATACCACCAAACGAAAGCTCTAGTCGTGTGAAGAAAATGATAAAATTTTAGTTTGGGTACAATGTTGTATGACCGCGCAATTGTCATTCAAAGTGTGAGAGCGCTGAAACCTGAAAAATGGCCTGGGCAGGAAGGTGTAAAATTGCCCGGTATTGAATTGGTTAATAATAATAATTAAATAATTAAAACAATATATTCTAAGACAACTAGTACACCTCCTAAATTATTCCTACATTAAAAATCCAACCCCAAAACTAACCTTACTTTGACAATTCATACACAGCTCAAGAGAAAAAAAAAAACTATTTTACAACCTATTAGTCCAAGCCCATATTTTGTTTTTTTATTTCCCAGGTAAACAATGCTGCTGCTTTGACTCCGAGAGTCTGCCCAAACACTCTATGTAGGAAAAGTGCTCAAAGGCAGAGGTCCACAATCCCCGGCCTGTTAGGAACCGGGCTGCACAGCAGGAGGTGAGTGGGCGAGCAAACTTTCATCTTTATTTACAGATAATTTACAACCACTCACATTACCATCTGAGTTCCGCCTTCTGTCAGATCAGCGGCGGCATCAGATTCTCATAGGATCGAGATTCCTTCTGTAAACTGCACAGGCAAGGGATGTAATTTGCGCACTCCTTATGAACATCTAATGCCTGATGATCTGAGGTGGAGCTGAGGTGGTGATGCGAACGCTGGAGAGCGGCTGCAAATACAGATACGCATTTGTAAATAAGCCAGGTGAATCAACTTTGTCCATGCTAGAAGAGGTTTAACTGCTTGAGAAAGCAAATGACAGTGGCCTTAAAAAAAGTGTTTGAGACCATTTAAAGTCTTCATATGTTCTGGATTAAAGTCAAGGCGGAATATCCTGAGATTGTCACAAAAACACTGACAAGCCTTCCATTTCCAACATCCTATCTTTGTGAAGCAGGGCTTTCTGCAGCGACAGCAACCAAAACAAAATTATGAAGCAGACTGGACATAAGCAACACACTTCAGGTAGCACTGTCTCCCATCCCCCCCCCCCCCAGATAGGACTGTTTAGTTGCAGGAAAACAAGCTCAGCTTCCATAGGGCTTCCACTGATTCTGCATTATAGTAAGTTTATAATTATTTCATTATATATTACAATGTAACAATAGAAATAGAGCACAAAAAAAATGTAATGCGCTTGAATTTAGGAGATACTAAAACACGAGATGCAACTGGTGAAGTCACAGGCACATGCACTCTCAAGGGATGGCATACTCATGCCGTGCCTTCAGAACTCTGTGCTATGGCCGTGAATCCCACGTGCATGTGCTAGAGTGACATCATTCGGCCATTCAAGCGGCCACAACCCGCAAACCTGGAAGCTCAGTGACATCATGCTGCTGGAGGGCTTCGTTTTAAGGTAAGTATGCTATAGTATGTGGCGCATACTAGCACATTGTGGTTTAACCCCTTCCCAGCTGGACAGGAGTGCTGCTGATGTGGGGGGACGTTTCTAAACATCCCCCTGCATCCATTGACTGTGCGCGCTCCCGGGAGCACGCAGCATCGCGATCTGTGACCGCTGTGTCTGCCGGACACAGAGAGAACACAGATCACTGTACGTCCCTCTGTGTGAGGTCCTGTGTGAGGTCCCGATTCATGCGATCCCTGATTGGCCAATCAGTGATCACATGAACAGTAGTAAAGATGTCACTGCCTGACATTGTTTACTACTTGTGAAATCTGTGAACGATGACGTCATATGACGTCCTCCCATTCTAACCGCACATGCGCGGCTCCCGGAGCGCAACGATCGGCGGTGCGCTGTGTCCCTCGGACACAGCGGATCACCGATCCACTGAAAGAGCCGAAGATGTCAGCTTGGTCATGTTTCATGTGTTCAATCACAGCTGATCACATGTAAACAGGGAAATGCCGGTTATTGGCATTTCTCTCCCCTGGAGCTGTCACCCTGACAGCTCATGAGGAGAACCGGTAATCGGCATTCCTCAGAGGGGACATGTACACAGATCATCAGAGCACTGATGATTAGTGTGCCCTGATGATCTGTGTAGCCCCAGCAGCGCACCTGTCAGTGTCCATCAGTGCCACATCAGTGCCCATCATCAGTGCCACATCAATGCCACATATCAGTGCCCATCTGCCTTTCAGTGTCATCCATCAGTGCCAGTCAGTGCCACCTATCAGTGCACCAATCACCAATCAGTGCCGCCTATCAGTGCCATATATGAGTGCTGCCTTTCAGTGCCCATCAATGATGCCTGTCAATGCCCGTCAGTGCCACCTACCAGTGCCTCCTCATCAGTGCCACCTATCAGTGTCCATCACTGCAGCCTCATTAGCGCACATCAGTGAAGGAGAAAAATCACTTATTTACAAAATTTTATAACACAAACTAAGAAAAAAAAATTTTTTTTTCAAAATTTTCAGTGGTTTTTGGTTTAAGAAAAAATTAAAAACCCAGCAGTGATTAAATACCACCAAAATAAAGCTCTGTCACAAAAAAAGTATACAAATTTCATATGGGTACAGTGTTGCATGACCGCGCAATTGTCATTCAAAGTGCAACAGCGCTGAAAGCTGGAAATTGGCCTGGGCAGGAAGGGGGTATAAGTGCCCTGTAGGTTAGTGGTTAAAAAAAAAATATGTTGGTCTTTTTCATTTATTTCATTTAAATAAAAATCCCAGTGGAGATTAAATAGCACCAAAATAAAGTTGTATCGGTCTCAAAAAAATGCAAAAAATTGCATATGGGTACAGTGTTGCATGACCGCGCAATTGTCATTCAAAGTGAGATAGTGCTGAAAGCTGAAAATTGGCCTGGACTGGAAGTGGGTGAAAGTGTCCGGACTTGAAGTGGTTAAACCACTCAAGCCCCTTTTGTTTTTTTGAAAGATTACTGCCGCTTTAAGTGAACCATAGCAGTTGATAAGAGGTAAACATGTACTGGGCTAATTTCATAAGAGAGAAGTCAAAATTTTTCACAAAATGAGCAGTTAGAACTTTTCCCTTTGTACTCTTTAGTAAATAAAGCCACACAAGTCTTGACAATAAGCCCCATTACCTTTCATTGGCAAAAAATGCACACATGCCAAAAGTGTCGTCAAAATGTGACTAGAGGTTGCCCAGCATGCATTGAGGTAGGCAAGTTCCAAAATTCTATTGTCTTCAAATCTAGTACATGTATTGGTATAAGTATTCCAGAGCTTAGCAAAGTTCCTACAAATCATGTTTATTCCTTAAGCACTAGCGGTAAAAACAGGTAACAATCTGGTCATTAAAGAGGGATTGTCTTGGCTGATACTATACTGTAATGTTTAGTTTTGGAGTATTAATAGATTGGTAAATCAACATCTATCCATCCAGCTATACCCACACTGATTATTACATTACCATTTCTCGGTATTACTGTTTAAGCTTCATTACACTGCACAGCAAAGCCAAGAATTATTTGGCTAGGTTCTGCTTTTTCAGGACCACACCGATATACACAAAACCCTTTATGAAAAGAACTGTGCCACGTGTCTGAGGGAGACTGCAGTTAATTCTAAGTAACAGCATTTCCAAGATGAAATGTCAGATCAGTTAAGTGTTTGCCTAACAAAGTTAGACAGATTTCTGGAGCAGAAGAAGCCTGAGCACAAGCAACATTTACAAATCGCTTAATCCTAAACCCTGTGCCTCCGCCGCTAACTATCCAGGAATTTTTCTTCCTCTCTGGCACACCATTAATATCTGACAGACCGCTTTTCTTTAAGGTCATGGCTATGCAACTACATGAGTCAGGTTCTTAAGTATGCAAATATTTGTGACACACGAATAAAATGCACATATGTGTAAAAGTACAACAAAATGACCATTACAGACTGTTATAATATAGAAAACAAGCATGTTCCTGTGACATCTAGAGATATTGGATTACAGGATGAGTTCTTAGACCATATAAATGTATAGGTATACAGGCCTAGTGCTTCATTCCAAACATAGAACCATAACACTTGAAACTCATATAAACATCTTAAAGGGGTTTTCCACAGCATATTGCTCCCCTCCCCCCTTTTTCTGCTGTTTACATGTTTCACCGGTCTGAAATCTATCTGAACAGAAACAGCAGGGCTCAAAATGAATTAAAGCTGCAAGCAGCATGGATCCTCTATGGTACTGCATGGAGAGTTTGAATCATCAGGGAAAAGAACACATCATATTTTCTGGAAATCTTGTTAAAGGTAGTCATACATAAGAGCTTCTGACTCTCAAAGGATCATTTGTTCACCCCTACAGGCCATTCACAATTCAAAGAATATCTGCTAAGTCCCCCCCCTGGGTAGTAAACCTGCGCATCATCTGCTCTACATCAGTGTTTCTCAACTCCAGACCTTAAGCACCACCAGAAGATTAAATCAGGAGGATTTCCTTAGTCTTACAAAAGCGATTTAATTTGGGCTGCTGCAGAAATGAATACCACTTCTTATAGTAAGGGAAACAAACAGTGGTCTGTACGGGCCGATTCAGACAATGCAATAATGCAAACCCTGCGATGTGCATTTTTGTGCGCTAAAGCATCCACGTTAAGACTCTTTATTTTGAATAGGCCTCCGGACTGGAAAATGTCTCTCTTTTAACCAAAGTGCATTGCAATGCCCACTGAACAAGTTGGAGCACAATTGTTGTTTTGTGTGTACATTGGGCTACCATTCCAAATAAATAGCAACGCACATACATGTCGCACGGCAGTTCAGCATGCATTACTGCAATGCAGTAGGTGTGAACAAGCCCTTAGGGGGTACTTGACCTGTGGTTAAGATAGGCTGGCCATACACAGCTAGAATTTCATCTGATTCCACCAAGATTGATAAATGTCAACTGAGAAATCAAAAGGAGCTTGGGTAAAAAAAAAGTCAGCTTAAAAGTGACTGGAGATATCAAGCTGCAGTCACTGTTCAGGGTATTCTAACAGCCACAAGTGCTGACTGTCAGAATACCCTGGCCGGCAGCAGGAGATTCACGCATAGGTGAATCTATGGAATTCTTTATGTATATGGCCAACTAAAACACTGCTGCGTGTATAAACAAAGAATAAAGGGGAGTTCTGCTGAAATATACAAGACCAGCCAAATGTACTTCATTGCTCTTACATGTAGCCATCTTTTCCCTCCATACAATCTTATCTCTCTGCTTGGGTTATGGGAATGCACTGAAGTATATCATTTAACAAGCTTTCAGGTACTGAATATCTACTGAGGGGCTAACATGGGCAACATGAATTGGTTGGGGACTGGTCACTGCCTACATAATTTCGAGTTTCTGTATGAACAGAAATAAACTTTGTATATGCCCAGATGTGATTTACAGTTAAATAACACAGTAATCCTCTGCAGCTATTCTTTTTACAAACTGACCTGTTATCAATTACAACTTTGCGCAGTTTACAAAGGAATCAAAATTAAAGAATAAGCTCACCTTTAGGAGCATATTACACCCAAATTAAGGGTGTAACATGCTCTTACCTCCCGCCAACAGCGGGCAGGAGATCTTCTCCCAGCACCTGCTGTCACAATTTGAGGAGCTGCACCCACACAGCTCATTCATGCAGTTTCCTCTGAATGAATAAACTACAAGTACCCTCATCCACTGCAGCTGAAGGCTGTAGTTCTCAATGAACTGCGAGAACGCTGGTGATTGCTCTCGTAGTTCATGGACTCTTCCTGCCATTCTATAACTGCCTGCCTTTACGAGAGGTAGAGGCAGACAGCTTACCTGCTGATCATGGGTGCAAGGCTTTACAGGACACAACATAAAAAAATAAATGCGCTTTTTGTGCCTGCAAAAAAATGTGCATTTATTAATTTCTTTTACAAAAAATAAACGTCTCCTTTAAGTGTTCGTAATTCCTTCTAAACACTTCCTGATGCCGTCAGGCAGATGGAAAGTAAGCGGACAAAATTATAAAAATGCACAAGAACAAGGTGAGCTGCTCCCTTTTGCCCCTTGCTGAAATGGGTAGGGGGCTCAGCTATCTTACAGTGCTTGACACTCCGTTTCTGTTCCACATATTACATCAATACAAAAAAAAAAAAAAAAACACACACACAACAGGAGCACAATCAGGGGTGCTGGATGTGCATCTTCATTCAGCTACTACAGTATTTGTAAAAAGGCATAAAATTAATTTACACTCACTTTGTGTGTGAAGCCTGCCATGGACTTTAAATGGTCTGTGTGTCCAAGTGATCGCTGGGGACTAAAACAGATAAAAATATCCAACATTCTAAATCACCAGAACAGGAATGGAACAGAAACTTTCCAGAGGGTACACTTGTTCCAGTGACAGATGTCTGGTAGGATTTTTCTCACTTTGGCGAAAGGTCTTCTCACTTCCTGTTGTGTCTTGAGACAGGAAGTGAAAGAAAATTTTTCCAAAAGAACACAGACCACAAAAATAAAATCGACAACGACAAGCATTTTAAATTTAAACCATTCACCACTGCATCCAAAAAAAAAAAAAAAAAAAAAATCTTAAGATTTTTTTATCTAAACACTTGCATTTAGGCTTACGAAGAGAGATGGGGGTACTCAGACCTCATGCACCAGCCTTTCAGGGTAAAGCATCAGCAGTTGGGCAGGGTTTTGTTTACCTGCCCACTTGCTATTTCCCCAGATGAGCCTTAGCCAGTAGTGTTTTCTGTGTCTCTGTACCAATCTGGCCCATCCAAATAAGTAGCTGTTGTCTCTCTTGTATCGGTATTTTGAAATAAACCTGTGTTTTGTTTTTTTCAAGCAAAGCAACAGGTTCACCTAACTACAAGCCTTCCCCTTCTACATTTACAAAGTTTTTTCAGGGTGAGTCTAGCCAAATGCCATAATTACTTGAGACAGCAGGCAGTACCCAGCACACCGACCTCAATCCCTCAAATGCACTAACTGCACATTTGATGAAAGCAATATTTTTTGCACATTGGGCATAAGGAATAATAAATGGCCAACAGCTAACTAACATCAGTGAGCATTTTTACAATCAGTCAGGCTATTCTCCTATCTGTACATTTTCCCTTCTAAATCATGAAGACATTTTTCAGAAAATTGGAAATTTTCTGCAAATACTACTCTCAATTTCAGGCACTTTCCTACAATGCATATTATTTAAACGATAGCTCTAGATCATTTCCTTTCAAGGATAGCATTAGTAAATATGTAGACTCGGCCGACTCACTGACATCAAAACGCTTTATTTTGGCAAAGAAATGTCACAAAGGAAGAGACACACAATGCTAGCCATTAAACTCACACCACACCTACAATTAGTTATTCATATGCAAA